CTGAGAGCTCAGAGCCCTGCAGCACCTGGCCTGCCCTGGCACACCTCAGTGTTCATGAGAGACCCAAAGGCACCCAGAGACACAGGAATTTATTCCACAGTCACCGTGTCCCCCTCCAAAGGTGCAGGAACACGTGTGTGCACAGAACTGTGGTTAGAAAACCCTGCTCAGACAGAACGATGACAAAGATGAGAGGCAAGGTATTAAAAAGCTGTGAGCAAAAGGCTTGGACAAATATGTTGGTGTGACCTCTGCACAGTGAAGATCCCTCTCTCTCTCTCACTTTATCAGTGTCACTCTGAGCAAGGACTATGAACAGGCAGAATCCCTCACCCTGCAGCTCTGCTCCCTGTTTTTCCATACTAATAACAACCTGAGTAATCAGTAGAATTCCCCACATACTTTACACGCTGAGCAACTGCCTCATTTCTAGATAACTACAACTCATTTTGAATAATAACCACACCTGGACTCTTTGCAGGAATCTCTTAGCTAGAGACTACACTGAAACCCTTTATTCTGATGATGGGCAACAAATAACAACGAGTCCTCAGATCAAGGTAACAAAACCTGTTTTCTGCCCTCCTGCTTGTGGTCTTGAGGAGGTTTGAAAGGGAGTCACAGATCCATGAAGTAACAGCATGTAGCAGAGAGAAAGAAAATATTTAAATCTAGATTCTAAGCCCTGTAATTTTGGTGCCTCTGAAGGGACAGGGGAGATGCCTGGAGAAGAGAAGGCTCCAGAGAGACCTTAGAGCAGCTTCCAGTGCCTGAAGGGGCTCCAGGAAAGCTGGGGAGGGACTTGGGACAAGGGCAGGGAGGGATGGGATGAGGGGGATGGATGAAAACTGGGAGAGGGAGCTGGAGGTTGGAGATGAGGAGGGAATTGTTTGGTGTGAGGGTGGTGAGAGCCTGGCCCAGGTTGCCCAGGGAAGCTGTGGCTGCCCCATCCCTGGGGGTGTTGAAGGGCAGGTTGGATGGGGCTTGGAGCAGCCTGGGCTGGTGGGAGGTGTCCCTGCCCATGCAGGGGGTTGGATCTGGATGAGCTTTCAGGTCCCTCACAACCCAACCCATCCCATGACTCTATGGAACTAGAGACTTTGGCATCTCCACACCTGCCAAGATGCAGCCACACAGCTGGGCTTTCAAAAAGCCACCCACTTTGTACCTTGGTGGCTGATGAACACATGATCTGAGCTGAATCTCTCTTATTTGTCAGGAAAGGGAGTGGAGCCAGGGCCATCCCACTTCCTTCTCACTTGGCCCTCCTGACTTTGCTCACTGCACAACCCATACTTTGCTTTCACCTTCTAATCACCATGAGATCATAGATGCAGATAAAGTCACATTTCCTCCCTGGCTCACCTTATCAGGTGCTTTCTCTGAGCCATGACAAATCACTTATTCAGCTCCAGACACAAAGTCAGTCCTTGCAGAAGTTATTTTTTAATTAACTCTGCACTCCTGGGTCTCAGCTTCCACAAAGCTCTCACCTGGAGCTTGTTGTCCAATGTCATGCCATGCAATTTGGAGTACAAAGCTTAATATTCCTTGTCATGGAACCATGAACCAGAACAGGAGGATCTTGAGTGAAATTAAGAATCCTCAGTTGGGGGTTTTTTTTGTGGAAAAAAGATGGAATATTCCTACTTTGTCATCTCAGGACTTGTTGCTCCTGTATCCTCAGAAGATGAAGAGTAATTCTCCACTTCTTTCTCTACTAATTGTCACTTCCTTGGTGTCCTTGGCCCAGGAGAAAACAAAAGGCACAGAGCAGACAGGTTTGAATCCTGCCTCCTAGATCTCTTCAGAAATCTATTCCCTAAAATGCCATGGGTAAAATTTTCCACCAAACCTCAGTGACTTTGAAGTCTCTTTGAACACAAAAGTCCTCGTTAGACCTCAGATCCTTAAGTCAATTAAGTCACCAAAAACTTCCCCCTAATCATAGGTTCTCATAGAATATGTGCATTTTAATCTCATTGAAGTTAATACATTTAATTGCTGGGTTAATATTAAAGGGTGTGTCCCTGAAATCTGGCCCCAAGAAAATCATTTGGTAAGGGCCTGAATTCAGCAGAGCACATCAGCACATGCTTCATTTTGAGCACTGAATATTCACCTCCTTATTTGAATGTACTTTTGGGCACTGACCAGAGCCCACCCTGATGGGATCTGTCACAATCTGGGTCACTCTGTGTTGAAGGATGACAACAACACAGGGAAATGTCACCAGCTTTTCCCCTTTGAATAATTCCTAGTGTGAGATTTCCTCAGGCAGCATCATTTGGGGTTGCCAAAAGTAGCTGCACCTCCTGAAACCACTGGATCTAGGCCAGTTCACTGCAGCCACTGAGACATGACCCAGTTTGACAGGGGTTTTTTATTTCCTTCTGACCAGGACCACTGTTATTATGAAGGTTACATTCAGAATGATGCTGATTCCAGAGCAAGCATCAGCACTTGCCAAGGTCTAAGGTAAGATGGAAGTTTGGTTCCCCAGAGGTACCAGCACATGCATAACCATGAGGAGAAGTGATCCAACCTCAATTATTCCATTTAAAAGCATCAAAATGTAAATAAGGGGGTGTTATCATTTATTCATGTGTACAAGGAAACTAGTTTAACAAAAAAACACAGCAGGGAAAGGGAGAAAAAAGTTACCTTTCTACTTCAGTTTCAGAGTTTATAAACTGGAACCTAAACCATCAGTATTGATACATTTATATGAGCAATTCCAGATCAGATCCAGTCACAAACCCCAGCATTTGGTGGTGCTTCCAGTAAAGGTTTGGGGATGTGACACTTGCAGAGGCTACAGGGCTGGCAGTGCTACAGGGTCAGGAAGATCAAGTTTTTGTATTTAAGGCTCAGTGAGCAGAATGTGCTGGTTTCTGATCACTGGAGCCACGGGGGAAGCACAGCAGGGTGAGACTGAGGAGCTGCAGCAGAACATTCCCCATGGCTGGTGGGGCTTTGCCAAGCTCAGACTGTCCTGGTGAACACTTCTTGTCTGTCTTGTCAAGTTTACATGTTAACTACTTGTTTTGCCATTTGCTGCTCAAAATGATTAAACTCTCTTAATTCCTTTCAATGTTTCACAGCTCTTCAGCACAATGAAAGTTGAAAACACATCTTTGAATTCCCCACTGAACTGAAAGTCACTCTTCAATCACCTTTCTTAACATGAACCCTCCAAATTTAAATCTGATTCATTCCTAAACCAGTTTCTTTTGGACTGAGTCTCCTACTTAGATCCCACAGACCAACCACATCTTCCCACTGACTCAGCAGCTTTGATTTCTGCTCTTTCAATTGCTGTCCTCTCTGCCTGCTGCCAAATTGTCCCTTTGCCTCTGGGTGTGCCAAGAAGACAAGGGGGAATGGATGAAAAGTGGGAGAGGGAGCTGGAGGTTGGAGATGAGGAGGGAATTCTTTGGTGTGAGGGTGGTGAGAGCCTGGCCCAGGTTGGGCAGGGAAGCTGTGGCTGCCCCATCCCTGGGGGTGTTGAAGGGCAGGTTGGATGGGGCTTGGAGCAACCTGGGCTGGTGGGAGGTGTCCCTGCCCATGCAGGGGGTTGGATCTGGATGAGCTTTCAGGTCCCTTCTAACCCAAACCATCCTGTGATTCTATGATGAAGGTCTGTACACTTGGGCTAAATACTGTTAGAGATAATGTTGTCACCTCAGTCCTGTGGATCCAAAAGATCACAATGTACCTCATTTTCCTAGTGGATATTTTGAGACACGTGGCCAGAAGTTCCTCATTGAACCCTTGGGAACCTCAGACAGGGATGAACATGCAGTCTACAAGTATGAGAAACTTGAAGACAAGTCCATAAAAACCTGTGGTGTGGTTAATAATACTTGGGAAGAGGATTCAGATGACCCCATCAATGACCTCTTCAAATCCAGCAACAGTCCAGAAGTAAGTACCTGACCAAGCAGCAGCCCAGCAAGCACACCTCAGAATAGAACCTGTGGCTGCAGGAGAACTGTGAATAGCACAAGTCCTCCTGGGTCTGGGGGCACCTGCAGGAGAGAAGCCATTGCCAACAGTGAAGCACCACCAGATCTGAAAGATCCAGCCCAAAATCTCACAGAGCTGGGATTTCAGAGGCACCACCCAAATCAAGTCCCCCTGCACATACTAATAGGTGCCCTATTACACATCTGAATTTCACCAATCTTTAAACATCTAAATACTTCCTAAGACATCCAGCCTGCCTTTCAGAATCTGAAGGATAATTTTACTATCTAGCCTATCTTCCATGGTTTTAAAACAAGGCAGTCCCATTCTAAACAGCCTGGCTGAAAAAAAACACTCTTGTACCTAATACATGGGTTGGAAATGGCAAAGGTTGAGCCTTAGAAGTAATTTAAAGGCATATTTTTCTTTAGATGAAAGCCTACCTGAAAGCAAAGAAGTACCTGGAGCTTTACATGGTGGCAGACAACACTTTGGTGAGTATTGACATCATTTGTCCTCCTTTGACCAGCCAGAATTGAGCCTTCCAAAGCAGGTACCGCTCACCCTGTCCCTACCTCCACACCAGTCCTACCCTAGGTTGTATCACCCCCTCTGGTGAGGAACAGGATTTTCTAAGGTTGATTCATTTTGAAAATGGCAGCTGGAGATGAGGAGAATTCAGGGAACACCAGCCCAGCCCCTTCTCCACCCTACACACAGATCTGCTCTTTGAAAGAGCCTGATCCTGAAACACCTTGTCTGATCCAACACTACATGGAGAAGTTAACACTAAGTAGACCAGGCAGGGTGTGGTTTCCAGTGCAATAATCTGTCAGGTCTCTCTTTTCTGATAAATCATTTTCCCCCCTTCTCCTTTTCCTGACATTCTCCATTTACTTTTCTAGTACAAGAAGTATGATGAAGATGTTAGAACTGTAAGACAAAGGATATTTGGAATAGTCAATTACATCAATGTGGTAAGAGCAAACACAGCCAAATGAAATCCCAATAGAAGTCATGTTATAATAGTTTTCTTTGTTCTTAGAATTATTTTCTCAACACTTGCTGCAGAGAATGACTGAAATGCTTCCAAACCAATGAAATGATCCTCAAATCTTGATTTCTTTTACAAGTCAAATTTCCTCAAAAACTATTGCTGGAATGATCAAGTATTTTAAAGCCATTTTTCATAGATAGTTTTAAGGTGGGAGGAATAAAATGTCATGTTTCTGGGCATTTTGTTCCTGTTCCAAAGTGCAGAAAAGATTCCATCAGGTCTGGAGTGGGTTCGATTGCAGTGACAAATGAAGCCATTCCCAGAATAAGTGTTGGTTTCAAAAGCCTTCATAACGTGTGGCATTTTTCAGCACCACTGTTTCCCTGCTGCAGGTTTATAAGGCCATAAATATCTACGTGGCTTTAATTGGCTTTGAAATCTGGACAGATGGTGACAAATGCAAAGTGAGCAGTGTCCCTGGATCCACTCTGGACAGTTTCTCCAAGTGGCGCCTCTCGGATTTATTGCCGAGGAAAAGGAACGACAACGCTCAGCTCATCACGTGTGTACCAGCCTGTCCCCTCTTTGCATTCCCATTTCCAGAGGCTGGGAGAGTTGGGGTGTTGAGCCTGGAGAAGAGAAGGCTCCAGGGAGCCCTTAGAGCAGCTTCCAGTGCCTGAAGGGGCTCCAGGAAAGCTGGGGAGGGACTTGGGACAAGGGCAGGGAGGGATGGGATGAGGGGGATGGATGAAAAGTGGGAGAGGGAGATGGAGGTTGGAGATGAGGAGGGAATTCTTTGGTGTGAGGGTGGTGAGAGCCTGGCCCAGGTTGCCCAGGGAAGCTGTGGCTGCCCCATCCCTGGGGGTGTTGAAGGGCAGGTTGGATGGGGCTTGGAGCAGCCTGGGCTGGTGGGAGGTGTCCCTGCCCATGCAGGGAGATTGGGACTATATGATCTCTAAGGTCCCTTCCAACCCAAACCAGTCCATCATTCTATGATTTCCAAATACATTCAAGAAATGTGTTCTTTAAAAACCCATCCCCAGCCCATCAGAGATGCTCTCTGTACTCAGCCAGACCTCCTGCTTTCCAGGACTGGGCTGTACTAATTCCAGAAGAAAGAGAAGTGTGCGCTCTTGTTTCTTGCTGATATGTTTGTCCTGGAGCACCTGCCAGGACACAGTATCTGATCTTCCCAGATGAATCCTTGGACAAACAGGCCATGAGATCACTTGCCACATCTCAGTCTCCCCTTTTCCCTGCTCTGGTCACAGAACAGTTGAGTATCCTAAGAACTGCAGCATGTTCTGATCACCAAAGGAAACACAACATGAAGTTCAAGGGCTGGGAAATGCAGGTGGCCAAACTAAAACTAAACTGCCCCACTGGGCTCCTCTGGCTCCTGGCCAGTGGTCCTGACTCAACCCGAGCACTTAGACTTGGGTTATGGTTGGACTAGATGATCTCAAAGGTCTTTTCTAACCAGAATGATTTTATGATTCAAGCACTTCATATCAAGCTCTTCTCCCTCCAACAGATGCTTTTGAGTCTGATAAGCAGCCTTGTAATTTAAGTCAAAATTTAACATGAAAAGTGTATTCAGGGTTTTTTTCTGCTTTGCAGTCATCTTAAGCTTGTCCTCAAACACTGGATTAAAAAAGGGCTGTAAACCAGAGCTGGAAACCAGCACTTGCTTCAAGGCATCAGCCAGGTCACCAGAGCAGACTTGGTTGCTGGTCACACCACAGCATTTCACTCTGCCTTTCCTCTTCCTTCCAGGGGCCACGACTTTGATGGGACAACCATTGGATTAGCCTTTGTAAAAACCATCTGCAGTGATTCACTTTCTGCAGGTATTATTCAGGTCTGATTGATTTTTGTTTCTTTTCTTTTTTAAAGGCTTTTCTCTGTTTTGGGTTGGCTTTTTTTTTCACTCAGTCAGCAAAGAATATTTATAACAATTACTGGGTATATGACACTTTCAGTTCCCTGTCTGGTTCATATGGTGGTTTTATCAGACTGTAAAAATTCAGTCACAGACTTTGTTCTCACTGAAGTGCAGAGGGAGCAGAAAGCACACACAAAGCTTGGTGTCTGTTGTTACCTAAATGCCAACACCTAACTCAGGCAAAAACCTGGAGCACCAGGCTCAAACAGAGCCAAAGGACAGAAACAAGTGATTTTGTGCCTCTGTTTCAGGGTTACCTGTTTTGAACAGGTTCTGTAAGAAAGCACTTCATCACTCTGGCCACTTAATTACAGCTGCCTGAACTACTGCACTTAAACCTCAGCCTAACCAGGAGCAAAGGTCCAAAACTTCACCACCACGACCAAGAACTCCACTGTTGCACCCAGGTTGAAAGGCTGGGCTTGTTGGTACAAGGAGTATTCCACGTGAAATTCCAGCTTCCCCACAGCACAAGGATGACCAGAATGCTCCTCAACTTGGGGATATGCAATTTGCAGCAGCATAGTTTGCACCACCAGTAGGACCAGTACACTGTGTCTGGTGCTTTCTGCATTCCCACCCCCTCTCTGCTGCAGACACAAATGGATTTCACTCCAAAGAGCAGGGCTTTTCCTCTCCTCTGCCACCAAGCAGCAGAAAACAAAGCTAAGACTGAGCACAGCACCTGCCCTTCCTTGCTGTGCACACATAACATGATAGTTACCATGGGGTAATGAGTAATAATTATATTGCACCCCCTAATTACCCTGAGCAGAGGCAGATACTCACACAGGAGTCTCCAATACTCAGTTCCCCTCAACACTCAGTGGTTACTTGGCAGGCTAACTGCCTCATGTTCATTTCAAAACTAATGATACCCATTTTCTCCTGCTCCTTACTGGCATCTTCTCCTTGCTATCAAAATATAATCCAGCAGAAATTGTGGAATAGCTGCATGTGGGGACTGAACACCATCAGTCCTTCTGCAGCAGTGAGGAGCATTTCACTTGGAGGAGAACATCCACATGGCTTCTCTGGTGCTCCTGCTTGGTCTAAAAGGCTTCCATAAAAATCACAGCCTGTTCTGATCTCCACAGGACCACAACAGAAATGAAATTGCAGTTGCAGCTACCATAGCCCACGAGATGGGACACAACCTGGGCATGAACCACGACGGCGATGCCTGCACCTGTGGCGACAGAGTTTGTATCATGACAGACACTGTCAGGTAGGAGCCTGGACACAAAGGTGAGGGAGTTTGAGGATGAACTTTAGATAAGCTGCCAGACTTCAAAACGGAGCTGTAATTATTTTGATCCTCCGAGATTATTCCATTCAAATTCAAGCAGCAGAGAAAATGAAGACATCCCAGGCCCTTCTAAGATATTCCCAGATTGATATTACACAAAAAAACCCAACAAAACCAACCTCAAAGCAAAGAAAAAAAGCTTTAGTCCCTTTTGGATAACATGAGCTTTGCATGTGTGGGTAACATTTGCTTTGGATAATATCTGCTTTGCCTGCACCTTAAACCAGACCTCATTTCTCCTTTACAATGATGACAGAATGAAACTACTGGGGGATCTCAGACAAAAAAGCTTCCCCAAAATTTACCTCAAGTATATTTTCGTTCTCCACCATGAGGATGTAGAGAACAGCACAAGGTGCTTGCACCTTCAATAAGCTCCCAGGTGAAAGGATTTAGTTCCATTTTCAGCTCTAGCTGAACACCCTGAGCTGGACAACCCAGAGGGAAATTCCTAATGCCTGAAGCAGCCAGGCACAAATTGTGTAGGACCAGCCTTAAATCTCTGGGGTGTGGGATTTATTCTGTACAGTGTTTACAATTCAATACATTAATTCTTTTTTCTCATCTGTTTGTTGCCACATTTTTTCCTGCTCTAAGTAGGAGACAGCCATTATAATGATTCATATATATATTTGGAAAGATGGTTGGAGCCAATAGTTTGGGGGATGGTCACCTGTTTCATTTATCTTGTGAAGGGAATTGTGTTTCCTTGCCTGTGCTGACCTAACATAAATCCCCCTGCTTTCTCACCACAGTGCTGTCATCCCCAAGGAATTCAGCTCTTGCAGCCTCCAAAGTTTTGAGAAATACATGCTGAGTGAGATGCCCAAATGCTTAACTAACATCCCAGATACAAGCAGCATCGTTGCACCTCCAACCTGTGGGAATGGCTTTGTGGAAAGAGGAGAGGAATGTGACTGTGGCACTCCTGAGGTATCCTCAGAAATGGGAATAAAACAACACTTGGAAGAGGCAAAGATTTGTTTTCAGGCTGTACAGTAGCTGGTTCCTGTTAGCTTGAGGCAGCCAGTTCAAAGGTAGTTGAAATATTCCTGTATTCCTGTGGTTAAATTGCTGAGCTGCACCACAGCCGGAACTGTGGTTAAATTGCTGAGCTGCACCACAGCCCTCCCTCCAAAGGGCAAGTGGTAGGAAAGACCACAGCCTGGTCTGTCCTGCTGTGCTGACAGAGGAACCCAGAACGGGGAAAAGCCACAAATACTGAACTGTCTGGGCAGAGATCAGCAAATTCCCTGCTCATCTTCCAGCAGCACTTTCATAACCAGACCTGCTCCGTGGCTGCTGCTGAAAACGGGGCTCAGAAGATCCAAGTGCAGGTCCAAGCTGCCCTGCTCTCCCTTGGCCAGGAGGGTTGGGTAGAGGCAGTGCTGAAGGGGCCAGAGCCTGGCACAGGGCACCCAGGTGTACCCCAGCCCCACACAGGAGGCCCCCCAGCCCTGACCTCTCCTTCTGTCACAGGAGTGCACAAACGACTGCTGTGAGCCCGAGACCTGCAAGCTGACAGCTGGGGCCCTGTGTGCACATGGAGACTGCTGTGAGAACTGCCAAGTAAGACCCCTTTTCATCTCACCCTCCTTTGCCCTGGGATTTTTTTTCCTGCACATGAGGAAACAGCCACAGACCAGAACCAGTTCTCTGACTCAGGCTGCCCAGGGAAGCTGTGGCTGCCCCATCCCTGGGGGTGTTGAAGGGCAGGTTGGATGGGGCTTGGAGCAGCCTGGGCTGGTGGGAGGTGTCCCTACCCATGCAGGGGAGTTGGATCTGGATGAGCTTTCAGGTCCCTTCCCACCCAAACCAGTCCATTATTCTACTTTTAATTACTGTAAGACAAGCACCCTTTGTCCATCCTGAACCACACCACAACTGTCCACTCAATTTCTCAGCATCCTGGAGAAATTTTACCCATTTTCTCCTGGAAAGGAAAGCTGAGGTACAACCAGGCAAAAAATCTTGTCAACTGACATAACCAACTTCACATCAGACATGGATCTGACCCCTTGTAAAGGGGGCCACTTGTAGAGTGAGGCAACTTGTAGAGTGAGGATGAGATTTGTTTTCCTTGGGTTGAATTCAGTGTGATTCTCACAGGGTAGGAAGAGGTGTGTTAAGCTTGGCATTGCTCTCCCCTTTCAGTATAAGAAATCAGGAGCAGTTTGCAGAGCAGTTAAGCACGACTGTGACCTGGCTGAGATGTGCACTGGCTCTTCTGCCACCTGCCCAGCAGATCGGTTCCGTGTGAATGGCCACCCCTGCAACTATGGGGAAGGGTACTGCTACATGGGCAACTGTCCCACCCGAGCAAGCCAGTGCAAGGCTGCTTTTGGACCAGGTGAGTACAACTCAACATTGAAAAATAAGGTTGCCCTGGTCCAAGGAAAGAGACAGAGAGAGGCTTTGTCTGCTGGCAAGTCATCAAAGGCCTTTTGTGCTCAGGAGCAGGGGAGCTATATGAGTTCTAGTTTGGAGCACACTTGTTATTTTCATATTGTAAGTGATGAGCATCATGTGAGCTGAAGCTCTGAGCACACAATGCAATGTATTTCCAGAGAAGTGGGAAGTGCTAAAGGCTATTCCTCTTTTTGCACAATGCTTTGAAGAGAACCCTGCACCAGAGCTGGGGGAGAGAGAATTCCTCACCTGATGGGAAGAGGAAATGTCTGTATTTCAAATTAATGCCCCAATTTAGCATGCTGTTAGATCTCCAAAAGTGGCTCATCCTCTTTCCCCGTCCTAAACCATCTCCAGTCCTGACTCTGTCCCTTCTCCTAGGCAAGGTCTAAAGGATTGTACCAGACAAAGGGACAGACAGGGAAGGTTCTGCTGTGGGTACACAACAACATTGCAGAATTAATGCCCAAAGGCCCAGAGAGAGTGAGTTAGACCCATGGGCAACTTCACTGGGAAAGGCCATTTCATAAACAGGTGAAAGAAATTGAAAATTCTTTTGGAGAGGCAGAGAACCTAAACTAATCCCATGGCCTTTTCCTCTCACAGAAGCTACAGAAGGTGCTGCTTCCTGCTACGATATGAACGAGAAAGGGACCTATTATGGATACTGCAGGAAAGAGAAAGGTAGTCACATCCCGTGTGAAAAAAAGTAAGCACTTGTGTTACATAACTTGCTGGGGTTTGGGAAGAGAGGCCATTCCTATTCCAATTAACATCCAGAAGCAAAAAGAGTGAACTAGTTTTGGTGTAGGCCTGTATGTCCCTGCGTCTCGTCATCGTGGGGTCAAAGCCAATCCTAAGAAAAGTAGTTTCCAAATGAGATCAGTCTGAAAAAGAGCAAGTGTGTCCAAATCCAGGTGCAAACCTGCTCTGGGGATGGTGCCTGTGCCTGCAGGCACGTGCAGGTAAGGACAGGAAGGGATTTTTGGATAGGGAACTGGAACCTCAGGTGAAATTCAGAGGGTGAGGGCAGGGGTGGGAAACTGCAGGTCAGTTCAACACTCATTTCTGCAAAGTGCTCTGGGCTCCCTAATAAGCTCAAAAGGAATGAAGAACCTGCCACCTTCTACTTGCAAACACACCTGGAAACACCACAAAATTCCTTTCTGCAGCTTTTCCTTTGGAGCTCCTGTACAGACCCAACAAAATTGAAGACAAAGGAGCTCAGCTGGCTTTGCTGTGCTGTGGTTCTAGCAGCTCTTGTTCTCCTTCCAGAGATATCATGTGTGGAAAGTTGTTCTGTACTGGTGGGAAGGAGATGCCTCAGGATGGGAACATGGTGACTTTTGGTTCCTGCAAATCAAGTTTTCCTAAAAGTGGAGAAGTAGACCCAGGGATGATTCTCAATGGAACAAAGTGTGGGAATGGGATGGTTAGTAGAGAAAAGTTTTTCTTCTCCTTATTTTTTCCCCTCTTTCAGTCTTGCTTAAATCATTAGCTCTTTCCCCAGATAAGAAAGATTTTAAAGAGGGAAAAAGACTGAAAGGGACATGAAACTCCTGGTCTGGTTTGCCAGACCTTCTGCTCCACATCTATCACAAACCAGGAGCAAAATAAGCAGGAACTGCTGTGGGTCCCATTTCCTTGTGCTTGGCTGTCACGTGGGCACAGCTTTGTGTGAAGGGTTAAAAGGTCATTCATGTATTACTATTTTTAATTATTTCCATTATTGATGTGCAGAGTGCTACATCAAATTTTTCTGCCCTATATTTCTGCCTGGGGAGGGAAGGATGAAGGATTAAGGACTGGAAAGCACTGTACATTTTTGTCACTCCCGTCGGCTATAAAATCCCCCAAAAGGTCAAATGAAAAATCACACCCACCTATCAAACTCCTCATGTATATTTCAGTGATTTGCAGACCTGTTTCTATGCTTCCTTTCACACTTCATCACTTGACACAATAATGTGCCAGGTCTGCATGTTCTGAAAGCTGTTTAGCACTCTGACCACTTGTCCTGGACCTTTCAGGTGTGCAGCAATGGAGAATGTGTCCATGCTGAAGAAGTCTTTCGATCGACCAACTGCTCAGCCAAGTGTACTGGACATGCTGTAAGATATGAGCATTTGATGCTGTTCTCTTTTTCAAAACAAAAATCACACCAGAAAATGGTGCAGATGAGCTACAGACCCTAAGGAGGGCAGTACTGAAGTCACTGGGACAGGAATTTGCAAAAGCTGTGGAGTCAGAAGCTTCCTCTACTTTTCTAAAAGCAAATCTAACCTGATGCAGCATCAATATGTTTGCTAAGGAGATGAGAGGAGATTCAGTGTCTGGCCTGGCCCCAGTATCCCAGCTGTTCTCTTCCAAGTCACCTTCTCTTTTGGGAGGATAATTGTGCTCATCCCATTCAGAGAGCTACAGATGTGAGGACCGGCTCTGCTGCCTGTGTCTTGTCCCTTTTCCTGCAGAACCCCCTGCAAAAGGCACAGAGCAGCAGACAGTCCTTCACCTGCTACTCCCTGTGCTAAATGTTGGTCCCAGTGGCAGGACGGGGGGGGTTTCCAGACCCAGCTGCAATCATGTCCCAGGACCCTGCTGCAGAGCCACTGGAATGCCATGGCATTCCAGCTCCACTCCTTTCCAACCTGAAGATGTCCCTGGCTTTGTGCTCCCACAGGTGTGTGACCATGAGCTGAAGTGTCAGTGTGAAGAGGGCTGGGCCCCCCCAAGCTGTGAGAGCTCCTCAGCAGTGACCAGTAAGTGCTGCATGGCCAGACCCTGGGGACTGTCCTGGGGTACTGTCCTACCCCCCTGCCTGGACCCAGCCCTCCCCTGCCTGCCACATCATCCCTCTGCAAACATCACAGACCTGGCTCTTGCATTTCTGAGCATCTTTTGCAGCACGTGTGAATCCTTGAATCCCAGAGTACCAGCTTGGAAGGGACCTCAAGGATCATCTTAGAATTAAGAAAATTACTAGAGCAATCTAAATGTTTCTCTCTAAGCTGCCAGAGTGATGCACCCAGGAGATAACTTAGAGCATCAGGCTTTTTCTTCCTCCATCCCAAGATAACAAGCACACCAGGTTAGCTCACTGTCACATCAGAGGGGAGACAAACTCCCAGAGGTTTTGCTGCAGGGCAGGCAGGCAAGTTTTTTCTTATCATCTGCCTTTATCTGACCTACCTCTGAGGGAACAGACTGTCTACAGATTTCCAGGTGCTTGGGAGAAAACAAAATCAAAGCCTTCGTCACTAAATATTTTTGCTCTCTCTCCACACTCCCTGGAGCACTCTCAGCTTTCAATAGTGGGGCTTGGTTGAGGTTTTAGAAGAGCTTTGTTGCAGGAAAGCTGTGATGCCTTAGCTGGATGCAGCACCCAAAGCCTGTGCCCAGTTTGAGGCACCACCCTGTAAGAGGAATAACAAGGATATCTGATCTTGGAGGATAGATGGAAAGAGCTCGAATTTAGCCCAAGGACAGCTAAGGCAATAACCACAGTCTTCAAATATGGTAAAAAAGGCAGGAAGAGGTTCCTTTCCATCACTGTTTGTGGCAGGAGAAGCCCTAAGGTGGAGCAACAGTGAGGACAAAGAGGGTCTAGAACTTGTGAAATAAAATGACTTTACCAATGGTCATGATGAGAAGCAGTCACAGTGGGTCTGCTAAGAAATGTTCTATTCTATGAAACAACAACTTGTGTCCTCTCCCCCCAACAGGCTTTGCTATCGTGGCCGGTGTGCTGGCTGTGCTGGCGGGCACAGCGATGGCAGCAGTGCTGCTGATCCACCGCCGGGGGCTCCAGAAGAGGTAACACCCACCCCTCCCTGGGGGAAAAGTCCCTCAGGGCAAGCAGGTTCTGCACAGCTTGAAGCCAGGGGTTGCAAAGGGGGTGGAGGAAACAGCCCCCAACATCAGAATATGGAGCTCCTGGAGAGAGTCCAGAGACAGCAACAAAGATGATCCAAGGGCTGGAGGATCTGGGGACAGATTGGGAGAGTTGGGGTGTTGAGCCTGGAGAAAAGAAGGCTCCAGGGAGACCTTAGAGCAGCTTCCAGTGCCTGAAGGGGCTCCAGGAAAGCTGGGGAGGGACTTGGGACAAGGGCAGGGAGGGATGGGATGAGGGGGATGGATGAAAAGTGGGAGAGGGAGATGGAGGTTGGAGATGAGGAGGGAATTCTGTGCTGTGAGGGTGGTGAGAGCCTGGCCCAGGTTGCCCAGGGAAGCTGTGGCTGCCCCATCCCTGGGGGTGTTGAAGGGCAGGTTGGATGGGGCTTGGAGCAGCCTGGGCTGGTGGGAGGTGTCCCTGCCCATGCAGGGGGTTGGATCTAGATGAGCTTTCAGGTCTCTTCAACCCAAACCATTCCATGAATTATTATTTAGACACTGGAAAGACATGGAAGTTGGTCCATGGCTGCTGTTGAGGTGTTACAGAACTCCCATAGTTGAGAGAGGACTGAAGACTTGAAACTGTAGCTCCCAATATTAATCCTACATAATTAAAATGAGGAGGACAAAGAAATAAAGGCCATGGCTCTGTAACACCCCACCAGGCATTCAGCTTCAGCAGGCTTTGTGCCTTCAGTCAGGGTAAGATTTACATGTCTGTGTAATATTTGCACAGGTGCCAGATCAGAAGGAGACCTGGAGCCACAAACCAAATCATTGTGGATCAAGAACAAAGATGCAGAGAACACCCTGTCCTGGCAGTGCCTCCTCAGAAGGTAAGAGCAGGAGGTGCTGGTCAGCTGTACAGACCCTGGGACTGTAACCAAGGGGCTGGAACATCAACACGCAACAGCCCAAGCACTTTACATTCCCAAAAGGGCTTCAAAATGCTGGTCTGGGCTGAGAGGACAGGAATGGGGTGAGCACTGGGTCACAGATTAATCTGCCTGCAGTAAAAGATAATGCACAAGGTGATTTCCATCCTATTGAACTTCTCCCTTTTTCAGATGAATGCTAAGAAGCTTCTGCCTGTACCTCCACCACAGGGGAACAAACCACAAGCCCGGAGTGTAAGTACTTCCAGGGAACTTCTGTGCTTTCCTGTTGGCTTTGGGCACATCCCAGTTCACACCACGGGGGGAGACCCACAAGGACAACCTGATCCCCAAGGCTGGGGACACCTCTGCACTCCAGGAAAGGCCCTGGTTGTGCTCTCAGGGCCACAGAGCATCCCTGCTTCTGGAATGAACACATCCATGAATGCACTATATAGAGCACAAGCCTGCACATTCCCATGGGAACAGGCAGCTGCACATATCTACAATGTGTGAATAGGGTCAATATGGTTTATATTCTCTCCTTTTACAGCCTGCCTTAAGACCAAAAGGTCCCCCACCTCCTGTTCCACCCACCAAACCAAGCTCTTCTCACACAGTAGAGATTTTTGTAAGTACAACATTTCACATCTTTCAGCTCAGTTGCCAATGGCTGTTAAATGCTAATTAGCATTTTCAGTTTCTATGATTTGTTAATAAATCACAGACATTCAAACCACAGATTGTTTGGGGTAGGAGTCACCTTTTTTTTTGCCATGAACTGCACAAGATACTCCTGGTCTGTGCCAAGGAGCCCTGTGCACCAAAACCACCTCCTTAGCTCATGGACAAACACGGAGCCCAAACCAACAGGGATTTCAGATGTAAACTCAGGGCAAATTATGAGCATCTTTGTTACCACAGAAGGCTGTGGAAATCTAGTCTCTAAAGATGTCACCTGAGAGGACCAATGTGCATATATATACATAGTTTTGTTAAAAAAATAATAAGAAAGCTCAAGGATTGCCAATAATAAACCCAAAGCATCCTACTTAAATGAAAATAACTCCCTTAAATATTTGCCATGAGAACATTTGAGCCCCCTGCCCAGCTGATACAAGGGTGTAGAAGCCACCTTCACACCAGAACCTAAATGCATGAAGAATGATGGATCAGGACTAAATTAAAAACCCACCATCTATCAGCTTGATTCTGAAACCACACTGAAATCCCACAGTCCCTAGAGCTGCTTTCCTCAGCACGTGATCAGCTTTACCTTCCCAAGCAGTTTGTCTGGGCATGGATCCCTGATGCAGATGGATTTACACAGAGAGAACAGCTCAGTGCTCCTCTCAAAAAGGAGACCTGTACCCCTGCTGTGCCTTGGATAGATTAATTCCCCCCCCAGCTTTTCCTCTAGGAAAATGCTGTAGTAAATACATGAGGTAAGAGTAGCAGCAGCTGAGGTTAGAGGAGGTTCTGCAGCTGCTCAGGCAGGAAAAGCCTCATGACATTTAAACTCTATTTTTTGTTACAGGCACCAGAGAGAAAACCTGTTCCTCTCCCCCTTCCCAAAGGCAAACCTCCACCCCCCCCTCCACCAAAGGTAACCGAGTTCAGCTGGGAGCTGCAATTATTTTTGGGGTGTCACTCATTAAAACTGCACCAGATAAACTCTTTCTTTTTCACACAGGCTTTAAAACCTCCAGTTAATCCCAGGGTATGAAGCTCCTGCAGCAGGGCCCATCAAGAGACCTGAACTTTTCAGGGACAATTTGTTTGTCCCTTGATTCCTCCACTTTTGGCAAAGACAACCAAGACAGTCTCTTCCTGTTCTCTTTAAAAACCAAAAAAAAAGAACACCTGACTGCCAGCTGCTTTGAAAGGAAGAGTTTTGTTCTCAAACAGTGAGGAGCTCTTTGGTGACAACACTGAGCTACTGTCCAGAAGGAAACAAAGCAGAATCTCTTCTTGCACTGAGGTGTGGACTGGGAGTAAGTCACAAGAACTGCTTCCCACACCCTAACTCCTGAGCTGCACCCCAAGCTGGGGCTGCACAGGGATGCCCTGATCCTGGGCACTGAGCTCAGAGGATCAGGGAAAGGATGGCTACTGTATCTGTGTAAATTGTACAGTTTTACTGCATCCCTGGATCCTGGCCAGCCCTCCAGGACTTCTCCCTTCACCTGCAAATTGCAAGTTCCAGAAGAAGAAAACTCCTTCCTGCCCTTTGGAGGGAAGTTTGTGTCAAGGGCTGAACTAGCACTGGAAATGGATCGTTTCTGGGAAGATCCTTTGGGATCAGACTCTCCCATTAATCTTTAGATTACCTGTTAAACAAGATTCCTCTGGGGAGTGGGAAGAACTGGAGAAATGTTCCAAAGCAAAGTCAAGCTGCTCACAAGGGCTCCCAGAGCTCTGGCTGTGCTGGGGTAGCAAGAGCTGCAGCTCCCTGGGACAGGGAGATCCAGACAAGCCCAGCCAACAACATCCTCAACCTCTTCTTTCAAGTGCCCCTCAGCTCCAGAAATAAGAGTCTTTCTCCCTTCCAGGACACACACACACACCCCTCAGTGTTTTTGTTTAATTGCTCTTGCACCGAGTGTGTTACTGAAGTTCCTAATGAGAACCAGGCTGGGCAGAGGGGTTGTTATTATGGGATGGCATGGGAGCATGAGCCTGTGCAGGTTGGTTTATTACTGAGGGTTCTTCATTCACTCTGCCTGCTGGCATTGGCTCTGTTGACACTGGCACAGGTCTGCACCCCACTCCTGGCCTGGTGCTGGCACTGCTGCCACTGTTACCCTTGGCCCTGGGATCATTCATGTGGCTGGCATCAATATTTTTAAGTTGAAGCACAAAGAAGTGTTTTTCAAGGAACAACAACAAAATTTTACCAGGGGAAACAAAAAAAAAAAGAGCGAGAGAAACAAAACTGTCCTGGACCCAAAGTATTCAAGGTTTAATGGAGGCTCCAGTTTGAACTGGATCTGGGTTTGGATCAGGATCAAAATGAGGAGATGCAAAAGGATTACAGTGGGGCTTTTAGGAGGCAGTTTCCAGCCTATGGTTGGGCTAGAGAAGGCCCCAGAGCTCCCAAACTGCCAAGCTGTGCCCAGGGTCAGTCCATGCACACTGACCTTCACCTTTATTTGCTCTCCCCAGGGCTACTGGGACTTTGAAAAAGCTCCTCAGAGGAGCTGGAACCTTCTACTCAAGCTGGTGAACCAGCAGCAGAAAAGATTTCACCTGCTGAAAAACCCTGACATCTTGTTGGGGTGCTGAACACAAGACCATATTGTTGCTTCTCCCTGGTCCTGGCAGTGCCTCTGGCACAGAAATGCACATCAAACCCCAAAACCCCCACTTCTTTTAGGCTAGGCTGGATCTGAGGTTGCCAATCAAGTGCTGTTTGCTCTGCAAAACACAGAGGTGAGGAAATAGTGTGAAAAATGAGGTGGGGGTTTTGTTTTAGGCCAGATTTTATTGGAAGAGCACAGCATTTTCTGCTTTGAATCATTGCTTCTTTCTCCCAGTCAGAAATGGATGTTCATCTGTCTGTATTTGACTACAGGGTAAAGATCCAGAACTTTTTTTCCCTGAACTGTAATTAATGTATTTACAAAGATTTCTATATTACAAGTATTCTTCCTGAACTGGAGACTGTTGGTTTCGTTTTTAAAGATCACTGGCACATGAAACACAGGACAACAATGTAAAAAGGATCATTTAGAACATTGCCAAATCCCTACAACTCCCAAACTGATCATTCCCAAACTCCCAAAAGATCACTCACATGCATTGCCAAGTCAGCCAGTAAAGCTGAATTCCACTTATAACAAGGGTTGATGCTACATCACCATTTTACTGCCACCCTAAAATCTATTTTTTCATGGTTTCCAACCTTTCCCACTTAGTGATTTTTCCAAGGACACAGAGATTTGAAGGAAGATAAAGCCTGTAAATCTGCTTTATCTTAATTCCTCTTTCAGATTGAACTCCCAAATCATGGAGCTTGGGCTTCCTTTCTCCTGCAGAAACCCAATCTGACCTGGATGGGCTCAAACCTCCTTAATATCTGAGCACACTCCCTGTGTCCAAACCCAGCACCCAAGCACAGCTTGAGGAGCCCTTTTCAGCAGTAGAAAACAAAGAAAAATATATCAGAGCACACACCTAGAGCAGTTTATGCTTTCATAGAACCATTAAAAAGACCTCTCAAGTCCAACTGTCAACCCAACCCCACCATGCCCATGAACACCTCCAGGGAGGGTAATTCCACCAGTGCCCTGGGCAAAGCTTTGTCCAGGTTTAACTTTCACAGAGTGCGGTTATTTAGAAGAGGCTAAACTGGAAAAGAAAACTACTAAAAAGAAAATTGGTTCTGACCTGGCTCAAACCAGCTTGTCCTGGCCCCAACATCTGCAGGGCAGGTGAGAGCATCTCCTGGGATGGAGCCACATGTTCTGTCCCTGCAGGCAGGGGCTCAGGTGGAGCCACCAGCTCCTGTCCTGTGATGCAAACGTGACATCTGCTGTTGAAAAGCCTCTACTGCAAGAGGAAAACGAACCCAAAAAAGCCTCCAGACCTCTTCAGCATTGCAGCTGCCCAAAGCAGCCAGCCCCAGAGGGTCAGTTCTTCACCCTTTCCACCCAAGTGCACTAAGTTTGCTCTGAATCCTGAAGTCCAGCTCATTCCCACCCTGGTTGTGGTAGGCTGAGAGCAGCTGGTGGTACAGACATGTCAAGGTTGTTCCCAGCCCAGAGTTTGCCAGGCCCTTCCCATTCCCAGGGGAATCCTTCCACTCCAGGCCTGAGCCTGTAAAACTGAGTGACCAAAAGGAACTGAATCTGAAGGGAAACTGAGCCAGGCACAGGGGGATCAATCCCAACCACCTGACACTGCCTGAACTCCACGTCAGACCCTCCTCTTGCTCCCAGCCCCAAACCAAACAGTTTACCACTAGTTTTGGGGTGTGTTTTTTTAGCACCAGTGAGCATTTCACTCCTCCATCTCCCCTTAACTCCACAAGAAAAGAAAAACACCTTTTTCCCTGTTTATTTTCAGCCTCTTTCCCCTCCATTTCTAAGGGATGGTGTTACCAAGACAGACCAAACCCCCAAACCAACCTTCACTGTGAGCACTTTTGGGGGGGGTTCCTAAAATAAAGGCCCACACATTGAACCACCACAACAGACCCCATTTCCTCAGTAGTTCCCAACCAGCTCCTGGGAATTGTTCCCTTTGCCGTGCAAACCCAACAGCAGCCATTAGAGGGCAATGGGGCATGGAAAAGGAGCTTCTCTTCCTTGCTATGGGATCTCTGCCATCCCCTCCAACCAATCAATGCTGAATTTACTGCATCCTGTGACCTTGGGCGATGGATTCTGGAGGCATTAACAAGGATGGCATCAGCCAGGAAGAGCCAGGAGATTGGAGCACATTCAGATTGTCAGACATCCAGGCTCCAGACAACTAATAAATAGGTTAAACCCAACCCTTCCAAACATGACACCACAGACAAGACATGCTTTAAACTCTACCCACCCAGTCCTGATTGATTCAGGTTTTATTGAGCAGGAGACAAAACATTGTCCTACCAGCCCTTATCAAAACGAACAATAAATGTCACTTGCAACATGGAATTAAGAGCTTGCTTCCCCTTTTGGTTCCTTATGCCAGGACATCTTTCATAGCCTCAAAGTACTACATAAATCATTGCCATCTTCATAAATAAGTGAATAAAAGGCTGCAGGTTGAACCCACCAGTGTGCAAATAGATGAGAACTCATGGAAATACTGATGGTTTTCTAGCTGACAGACACTAAGAATTCAGACCTTGCTGTGTCCCTACCACCCAACTGGGCCTAAAGCATCTCAAATGGCTCTTACCATGATGGCCTTTGAACTGGCTGATAATATCAATAAATGGGAACCTCAACCAGCAGCTATTTAGTGTTATTTACCAGTGGCTGAGAAATTCCAGCCTTTAATCATCAGTTTATTGATAACTCCCTGAGTATGGCATTGCTGGATGCTCCTTATCTTCTTCCCCTGGTGCTGAGGAAATGGCAAAGGAGCAGGGGTGGCTGTGGGGTGGCCAGCAATTGCCCTGGCCCCCCCAGATCACTTTAAAGCCATCCTCAGAAAAGTGGCACAGATATTAACAGGCTGTTACTGACATGAGATCCATAAATAATTCCACCTAATGCATGGCCCCAGCCTTTAGAAGGTCACAGGGGAAAAAAAAGCAGAGGCTGGAATATTGATAAATGTGTCTGCAAGAGCTATTAAAAAAGGGGAAGTGGTTTCCATGGGATTGGTTTAAGCCACCAGACCCAGGACCAGAGGGAAACCTTGGTCACATGCCTGACAGAATAGACCCAAGTGCACAGCACCAAGCACAGGAACAATGGAAAGAACAACACAACACCAAGAAGGGCTTCAGAAAAGGAGGCATCCCCCCTTCAGCAGCCAAAAAATGTGGTGCAAGACTGGAGAGCTCTTCTGGCAAGGCCCAGGTGAGGATGGAGCTCAGGTACACTTCCTCTGTGCTGCAGGTACAGCAAAGACCTCTCTCACAGCTGTTCATGCATGGGAACAAGGGAGCTGCTCTGCCACACACTAAGGCTATTTTTTCATGTCCTTAAGTGCACTGGAGAAATGTATTTTCCATGCTACTTTCTGCAGCTATCATGAAGAGACATGTCCCTGAATCCCATCAGA